TAAGAGCCATTTTATCCTCCTTCTCCAGTGGAATAATTCAGTTAAACTTTGACAAAGTCTCTTCTAGCTACCTGCCCTTCCCATAACATTTTTTTCCTATTACATTCTTTTATATAACCTTCTTTCTCACTGTCACTGATCAATAAAGACTTCAGGGCTGTAATAGATTCTTGGTCTTCCATATATAGAGATATGTAAATAGAAATTTATTTTTATTTTCAATTAGCAGAGTAGGTCATAAAACTCCATCAAATTCTGTAAATGACCAGTGTCTCAGAAAGTGGGGGGGGAAGGGGGGGGCGAGGGAGGAAGGGCGGAAAATAACTTACTAAATGAGGATATGAGAAGATTAAAGAAATTAAAGAAAATTCAGAGGCAGAAATATCCAAACCACTTCCAACAGATCCAGGGCAATCGCAAGGTGCGCTATGCAAAGCCTTACAGCACTATAGTTAGAGTATTGCAGCTGTATCAGAAATAACACAGCCTGAAATTATAAAACCTGTTAAGAGGAATTTACTGAACTGGAAAAGATTATGGATGACTTCAAAAGACAGAGAATTGCACATGCCATTTTTGCCAGACTTCTACTTTCAACAGTTACAAGGCATTCTCAGAGTAAGATGATTTTGGTGAACAAAAGATTTATTTCCGTTTTGGAAATAAATACTAGCTATAAATCTGACTGTGTAGCAAATGTAACATGCAGGAAATATGAAACCTGCTTTCCTTCTGACTGACATCTTCAGTTTAATTTGTTGTCATTCTATTTTTCTCACACAGCAGATTTTTTTGCTGCTCTTACTACACCTCTTAACACCTCAATAAAAGCTTAAACAGGGAAGAGGATACAGTGTATTTTTAGGGAAGGCACTGACAACTGTAGTCTCTGCAACATAGTTATAATTTCAAAGCGTTTTTTTCATTTCGTGTGATGACAAACACTTAAAAGAGACATTTTAAATAACAGACATGGTCCCTAAACACAGACACAGGCTTAACATGCAACTATATATTAATGTATAGTCATAGATTACTATATGCAGTTAACTGGACCCTTGTTAGACTGCTAATTGAAGCACATTGCATCTCTGAAATGTTAAGAAAAAAAACAACTAAAAGACTAATGTTAAAACTACTATTTTATTTTATTTTTTTCCCTCTAGGAAGAAAATCTGAAACTATAAAGGAAAAATATGTAAGAATTGCTTGTTTGGCATTTCTCAAGCTTTGGCTGTACCATGCAGCCAAACACAACTCTATTTCCAGTGGGACTGTAATACTGGATAAAGGATATTTGTGGTATAGCAAAAATAAAAAAGCAAGCAAAATGGCTGGATAAAGTATTTCGCATAGTTGATAGATGTTTGTAAAAAACAGGGTCAGTAAAACTTTGTGTGAAACCAGAGAAAACACGAGGAATCATTTTTTTGTACTAATAACACAGAGAAATGCCACTGTGACTAAAGAGACCAAAATTTCTTACGCTTCTAGCCTAGACCACGTAAAATAGCTGCGAGTTCTGTTAGCAATTAGAATCCACTAAGAAAACCCCATAACAACAATGAAAATCAACCTACCCTACTTTAAAGTACTTCTAGAAAGATGTACTAGAGTTCAGAATAAATGTACTCTGATTATTACAAATAATCCCACACTTCCACACTGTAGAATACTTTAAAAGCAGTCTGGGTTGGGAGTTTGTTTTACTAAACCTATTTCAAAGCCATAAGCAGACAAAAACAATTCTCCAAGCAGACACTTAACAAGGATATCATCATCATCAAAGAAAGCCATTTAGAATGTATTACAATATTCTGAGATTTTTCCATCAAATATAATCTGATCAATATGTAGCCAAATGTTGGAAGATTAGTAAAAAAATAATAAAGAATTTGAATTTTCAAGTTTTCCAAACACTCT